TGTTCTTGATTCTCACTCCGTAATACATCATTTTCTGTGCCATCCAGACTTGCTTACACATCACTTTTTGAACCTTTTATTATGCATTCAGTAGAAATAGTATTCCATGCAGTTAGAATCCACTAAGCTACCCAATTGAAAGCTTTTTGATGTTGCCAGGAGTTAATGGGCAGTTCCCTGATAACAGCCATATTAGCGTCTGAGTTGGTGCTTGAAAGTTTTGTTCACAGTCATATCAAGGACTCCTGCCTCCTGGTATCACTACTAAATCGGTTTTTAAACTAGCACCTTTCTTTTTCACTTCTTCTGTAAGGTGGCCCCTAAAGACATTAAGAGTTAACAATTCTCTCTGCTGTAATTAGGGCTCCCGATCGCTTGTCCCAAACTTCTTGAAGCCAAGAAATCATTAAGCTTTCAGTGATCCACCCAGATTCATTGCATTTAAAAATTATTCCACTTGGTAGTTTTTCTTTGAGCAAATTCTTTCTTTTCAGGATAACAAATGGAGGTAGCTTCCTGCCAACACGCCCAGCATGACCGTAACTAGCATTTTTTTCGTTTCCTGATGTTTTTGTCACAACTGATTTACACCATTTTGTGCCACTATTGTCAGAAGGCATGTCGCTGTATACGGGGTCTCATCGGCATTCCCCATTCAACTAAACAAATGGTTGTGATGATGGCGCAATTGTATAATGTTCTTTTGGTACTCCAGTTTTTCTTCATAATCTGCAGGCAGCTTTTGCGATAGGGAAGTTGTTCTACGCAGACTGAACCTTTTCCTTCTCATGAACCGTATGCACCGGCCGACACTCGCGTATAATTCCTGCCTGGAAATGTTTCTCCATCTTGCTACTTCTAATGCTTCCATGCGAATGCTGTTTATAGAAACTCCGAAACCCTTGTTACGATTTTGTTTTACGAATTAGACAACTTCACCGTCGATTTCGGGATGGCGCCCCACTTGTGGTCCACGGAAACATTTCCTTGTGGAATTACTAGATTTCAGGCGTTCCTTCGTACCTCTCCAATGCCGTATATTTGCTTCACTTATTGCATAACGTTGTGCAGCTTCACTATTCTTCGTTTGTTCAGCGAGATGAATTACTCGCAATTTAAAGTTTGCGTCGTAGCTATTACGTCGTTCCACATTTCTGGTAAGTTCTACACTTCCTCTTTTCTACATGTGGTCGGCCATTGCCACAGCCACGTGATCGTCGCCATTGTTACGTAGGCATCAGCACACAGCTACACAACACTATCACCTAGCACGAACATGACTACCAAACGACTACTGAAGTCGCGGTACTCCACGACGCGGACGGGGACGGAAGGCTCGTGGCCTACGAGTCTCTCTCTGGTTGGCCACGAGGAAGGCTTTGGCGATGTAACAGCTGTTGCAACACTGCAAACGGCCGCTAAGAAAAACTTAAATCCTATCAAACGATTCTGCGAAACGGCTGGGAAAATTATTTTACATCTTATTACTTCAATTATAAATATATGCAATAATAAAAAAAGAGAAATTTCTATTGCAAATTACTTTTCTTTGTGAAGTTATCTTGTACTACAACAAGAACATAATGCCGTTGATATTGCATTTTCTTCTTACGCGAATTTTTCATTATACGCGAATATAAGACGATCCCCGATTTTTAAAGGTTGGAAAGTGGAAAAAATCCGCGTCTTATATTCGGGTATATACGGTATTTTCTGATCGTTCAATCGGAGCTAGAAAAATAGTATTATGCAATGGGAATATTTATGCCCCTTCAACATAGAGATGGTACCAAATAGCTCTCTTGTCCTTTCATTCAAAAGATTTATTGTTATTCATTACGTACAATAAAACACTATCAAAGTGAATGATTTAAATTCTTTTGTTTGATGAATTTATGTGTGTGATTTTCAAGAGTTAAAAAAATTCCCTTTTAGCTGCAAGGCATCTGACAAAATAAAAAATAATACCTACAATAACTTTTAGAGGCACTTGAAAATTTAGAATTATATTCAATTTTTAAACTGCAATCACTTCTTACAATATGAAACCAGCAGTTGCATTGAAAGATGTAATTTTTAAAAAACAAAAGCTGTATCATCCAGTTGATTTTAATGTTTTTCTGGAAGGCAAACACTCCAGTCCCAATACTGAATTCCTTTTTATGACAAGTTTTTAACACTTTTAAACGTTTCCTATATTAGTAATATGGTTGTTTTTTATTAATTTATACTAATTGAACAATTTTTTGTCACACATTAGGATACTCTTTTCAGATAATGAATTCCAGAGAAGTAATTTGAAAGCATTTAAAGTTATAGGATATTAACTAATATTTAAAAGGTGAAACCTACATGCGGTAGAGAAAAAGTGACCCAAAAAATTGTTTCTGGTCTGATATCTTCAAAATAATTAATGTAATTTATAACAAAAACATGGACTACAAACTTTGTTGCATATAATTATTTTGTTTCTTTAGTGATTAGTAGGGTGCTAAAGTAAAATTTTCCCCCTACATTGTATTCCCTGTATAGTATGCTAAACACACATTCACTGCCACTACTTATTTTGGCAACACATATGCTATCTTGAAAGTTGAGAGCCATTTTCAAAAATATACACTTCATCACGTGATGAAAAGTGACGCAAATTTAAAACTGCAAACAATTAGAATATAATTACTTACAAGGAAATTTTGCCTCCTATATGTCTTCGCAGATGAAAGAAAAAAATTTAGTCAAAGCTGGATTGTTACAGAAAAGCAATAATAAAGAGCGTTGTCCAATGTAGAGAATACTAGCAGTTTTTTTCGTAAACTTTTGCGATTTTGTCTCTTATTGTTCACCGGGTTTTATTAAATAACATTTATGGGCTGGTCAACTGCTACGGTCATTACACCCATTAGAGAAGTGAAAGTTGTATAATTATAATATATAATGTAAAATAATGTAAATATCTCGGAAGGTGGCAGCATGCCTCTCCGCTGGATAGTAATGTCTTATATCGACCTACACGTCGGCTTGGGGGGGGGGGGGTTTCCCTCTCCGAGTATCTCCTTCCAAAGGGGCACCAACCTAGCGAGGACAAACTGTAATCTCCCGGCCCGTGTAGCAGTGTAATGTATAAGTAAACGTTGAAGAAAGTGCAAGGAAGAGGAAGGAAAGATCACGCGCGATCTTTGATCGGTTTGTGAAGGTACTACTAGAGCATTTGCCTGGCATTGATCAGAGAAAGCACGGAAAACGAACGATCAGAGCAGTCGGTAGCTCGAATTGTCCTTCAGTTAAAATAGACGAGTATAGCTAGTATCGAAGATCCACCACTCGGGATTCAAAGTGGCTGCGAAGGCGGCCACACTCAGCGGGTGGCATTCTGTGAGAAATCCCCGATCAGGGCCCACAGTGGCGGATTTTCGAGCCTTGTTAGATCAGATTCAACCACTATTTAGAGAACTCCAGCGGCCGGCTGCTCAGAGCGGTCGTTTTCCGAGGTTTCTTCGTCCAATGCCGGAAAGTGCCATCCTTGCCCTTCCCCCCTTCTCTTTACACTTGCACAATATCGGGAATTTCCATCTTGCTCAGCTGGGGCCCAAAATGAAAACTAATTCTACAAACAGTATTCGGTTAAGTGCGTTACACCTCATAGAGCATGCAGGAATAATGTAAATATCGTCGGCCAAAGCAATATGCTCTTACCTTGAGTTCCACTGCCCGTCTCACATCAGCTGACATGAATCCCTTTTTCTTCAACTTGAGGTCTACGAAAATTGCGAACTTTGCCGACTGCGAACGATTTCCGTAATGAATTCGGCCCCCGTAGGAGTCGTTGGCACCATTCGGCCAATAGATTTTACTAGCCCCGCACCATAGGAATTATTAGTGACGCTGTTACAAACAATTCTCCAGATACGCCATTAGTAATAGATTCTATTGGCTCCAGAATGGTGACGTCCTCCAAAATAATCCAGTCATCGGCTGAAACATTAGAATAGATGTTAAAATACTAATTATAAAAAATACCAGGATTATACATGTCCCACAAATGTAATTTCAATATCATGCGTTCACAATGACAAAAAATTATGACTTACCGGTCAGAGCTTGTGGCGCGTTGCACAATTGAGATTGGACAATGATGGGATGATCCTTCACTTCCAGTAATCGTCTCACCATTGCCAGCTTGCTATTCCAGAAGGTTGGAACCTGCTGTATAAGCCGCAACTCTGAAGCTTGTGCCGATTTTTGCTGGTTGCAGAGGCGACCGGAAGCCAGGGTGCTGTGCCTGTTTTCAAGATGTTCATTTCAACATTACAAATTCCCCACCCTTCGTGTATTTGAAAAACTCACTCATAAAACTTACATAAGAAACCTCTCTCCCCACATTTAGCAAGGACCTCGACCAACCTCTTCACAGGAATAATCCACGCACACACAACTAAATGTAGTGTGTGAGCCACACACGGCAGATGAGGGATTTACGCGCAGATACCGCCACAACTGGTGAACGATTTCAACGATTCACCATGATTCAACGAATCAGTCTGCGAAGTAATCGAACTACTGGTTCAATCAGCAGTTGGGGCCCTTCCGGATGCCTTCACTGTCCCGTACTATGAAGTGGCTGCCTCCTGGTTATATACTCCAATATACTCTCTGGAGCCAGCCTCGTGCGCTTCGGTGCGCTTCGATGCGCTTCGGTGCGCTTGTAGCATGAACGATTAAACTAGGATTAAACCAGAACTTAACTCGTCGTCAAAAGGTACTTGGCAATTTGATTCTGTTGCTTTTATTTTGGCGAAAATATTTCTCGTATTAATGTGTTGAGCATTTAAATCTACTGTGATGTGAAATTAATTTACGAAGTATAATTATATAGTCATTCTTTGACATTCATTCATCTGTCAGTTTAAACATAACCTTAAAACTTTGTTTAACCAAACTCTCATTGTGAGTGTACAAGAATCGTGCTTTAATTTATTTTGTCGCATCATAAATACTCCAGAATGGCGGCTGTGTTGAAAAAAAGAGCACTTGCTGAATATAGTCAAGTAATACAGGAGCCCCCAAAACCCTTGAAGAAATTGAGGCTTGTTAAGAAAGTTGTTACAAGTGGTTCAGCTTCAGCTTATGTTGGTCTTTTGGAAAAAAGCAAAAGCAGCAATGATGCTTTACAAATTTTATTGCGAATATCTGATTCAATGAAATTTCAGGAGGAAGAATTGACGGATGCTATTAGGAAATTATCAGATCATTTTCAACAAGAATCAGAATCAGCTGTGCGAGCTAAAATTTTGTGTTTGTTTGGGGACATGGGAAGAGAAGCAAGTGTAGACTTACAAGTTATAATTGATGAAATTGTGCAATTACTTAAAAAAGAAACTTCACACAAAGTATTGGCCCAAGGAATTTCTGCCCTTCTACGTCTGGGATGTTTGTGGTCTGACAATTTAAGCTTACATCAACGACTTGTTCTTGTGGCAAAACAGTATTTAAGTGATACTAGTCATTTAGTAAAATGTAAATGCTTAGAGCTGATTGGTGAGCTGCAGCCATTAGGGGGAACAGGAGAAACAGGAGCTCAAGCTGTCTTACGACTGATAGGTGATTATAGTCACAGTGAAGAAGCTAGAGTTCGCAGTGCTGCTTTTCGAACAATGATTACTTTACATCAGAGAGGTTTACGCCTGGATCCCACCCTCTATTCTGAAGTGTGCTTGGCACTGAAAGATGATTATGAAATAGTGCGGCAAGCTGCCCTACAGTTAGTATGGATACTTGGGCAGTCATACCCAGAACATTTGGTGCAAGTTCCTGATAGTGATGAACAGTTACGAATGGTAGATGATGCTTTTAGTAAACTATGTGTAATGATTAATGATTTATCAATGCGTGTACGTACACAGGCAGCAAAAGGTCTTGGTGCTATGACACTTGTCAGTCCACGTTTCCTACAGCAAACCCTTGATAAGAAACTCATGTCTAATATGAGGAAAAAGCGATCTGCGCATGAAAGAGCATGGGAATCTGTAACTTCTGGTGAATGGTCTAGTGGGAAAATGTGGGCTGACGATGCTCCTCGAGAAATGGTAGATGCTGAATCTGTTAGCCTGATCAGTACTGGCTCTTGTGGTGCATTTGTGCATGGTTTGGAAGATGAGTTTATGGAAGTACGCAATGCATCAGTGGAATCTTTATGTCAACTCTCTCTGCATCACCCACAGTTTGCAACTATGTCTTTAGATTTCTTAGTTGACATGTTTAATGATGAGATAGAAGGTGTGCGCCTCCGAGCTATAGACAGCCTCACACGAATCAGTCAGCACTGCCTTTTAAGAGAAGATCAATTGGAAACCATTCTTGGGGCTCTAAAGGACTTTTCAGTGGATGTGCGTGAAGGATTGCACAAAATGCTTGGTGCATGCCGTTTATCTAGTAAAGGTTGCTTACAAATGTGTGTTGAAAGTTTACTGGAAAATCTAAAAAAATATCCCATGGATCGTAAATCTACATGGCGTTGTTTACAACGAGTAGGTCAGGCACATCCTGAATTGACTCTATCGTTAGTTCCAGAACTGCTAGCAATTCATCCTTTCTTAGACATGCCTGAAGTAGATGTGGAAGAACCATCGTATGTAAGTATTTTGATTCTTGTTTTTAATGCTGCTCAGCATTGCCCAACTATGCTGCAACTCTTTGAAGAGAGCACCTTGAAGCATTATTGTTATTTGCGTGATACAATGCCTTCGCTTGTGCCAGCGCTGAAGGTAGATCGGAGTGTACGTTCTGCAGAGTTACGGCCAGTGAATGAAAGTGCAGCTCGCTTTTTAGATAGTATGCTAGCTCGTTTAGAAGCAGCACCACCTGCTGGTCGGTTACGTGAAGAGCTGATGCAAGCTGCACAGCGAGACCTTGAGCGCCTTGCAGCCATTGACAGTAGTGTAAGTGGAGCTGCGCATTTTGCTGCTGCCTTTGTGGGATCTCAGTTACTAGCTTCGAAAGTATTGGCAAATCGATTATGGGCAAATCCTGCTGCTCTTGCAACTCATCAAGGACATGTTGTGCGAGCTACTATTGCCCAATTGTTACAGCATTGCCTTAAGTTGCAGTATCTCTTCTTAGGGCTTGGGGATCAGGAAGTCGGTGCTGTGCGTCAATTCCGGTTGTTAGTGTTGGCTCTTCAACTTGTGTATGTGGTGCGTGGAAGTAATAGTTCTGCTCTTGCTCTGACGGAATATTTCTTAGAACAATGTGATGACACTGCCAAGTTTTTGAATGAAAAGGGTTTGGTACCTGAGCCATTTGTGGCTACAGCACTAAAGGAGTTGGCACAGTTGGAAGATACAAAGCCAGGCCCTGTAGCACGCTGTTTACTTCCCATATTGCAGGCAGCATCACCAGCTCCTCCTCCACGCCCTTCAATTGCTGTGCAGATGACTACAGCGGTAATCTCTGAGCCTACAGGGGAGATAGATGCTGCTTTGAAATTTACAGCTGGTCTGGTGATGGGTGTCCCTCTGGATGCCGAATTACAACATCTTAGAGACCCTTCTTCTTTGAGAATTAAGGTGAAGTATCCTGATCAGCAAACTCAACTTCTAGTGCCAAAACGCCCTGATCTACGACCTCTAGAAAATGACGTCCTACCAACAGAGAGACAAGGACCATCCACATCTGTGTCGTCTGTATTTGGCATGGATGTTGGTGAAAATGCTAAGCCTGTTTCTACTTCAACCCCCACAGACTTCCGGCTCTTGACCACAGTTCTCATCTCACACCAAGTGTGGACTGAAGCATGTACTGTGGATGTTAGTTTGGCTCTTGATTTAACAGAACAGGAGGCAGGGCTGTTAGGACCTCCTGGAACATCACGTCGTGGGGCAGGACTGCTGAAACCGGATTTGGAACCATGTGTATTGGACTTGTGTAAACCTGTAAAGGTGTATGTGTCTCCAAAGCCTGTCAAGAGAGGCATTTAAGATTTTTGTGTTTGTGTTTTTGCAGTTATAAAATTATTGTTACCACCAGAGAAACATTTTTTTCATGCTACTGCTTAATGCTGCATATAAAACTTTTTATATTTGACAAAATGTTGTTTTTTGTAATACAAAGAAGAGTGTTTGTCATACAAATATTGTACTGCAGACAAATATACATACTACATCAACCATTCAGAAACATTTGTTAAATGTTTGATCATGTGTGCTAAACATACAATTCCAGTTAATTTACTTTGTTTCTAATGTTTTTAGATGTAAAAGATGTATGGAGTATAATTTTTATTGCCAACGTTATTGTTTATGATATGTTTCTATTAATCAGGTTCCACTTTATTATAGGCAATCAGGTTATTTGAAATAAAATTAACAGTTCATAAACATAGTTTATTTCACAAAGAGCCTTCAGAAAACACAACAATATTTCTAAGCCAATGAATAAAAACCTTAAAATTTTTAAACATGAAAATATGTAAATTATGTAAGCAGAAATCATTCAGATTAGGAAGCTTATCTTCTTAAGTTCCTAATACGGTTAAGTAGAGTGAATTCAAATTCAGATTATGATACATAATGTTGATAACTAACATTTCTGTTATTTAGGGTTACGTAAATAACCATCCAAGGGGTGTATTTTCTTTGTGAAATGATGTTTATGAACTGTTAATTTTATTTCAAATGAATTAATTGTCTATAAAAAAAGTGGAATATGATTAATAGGAATATAATTTTGTTTGCTAGGTAAGTCACAATTAAAGTTTGGAAAAACATCAACCTTTCCTGTACTCCTCTACCAGCATTATAATTCAATAACAGCTTAAACTTCATGAAGTAAATAGTATTGATCACCATATACACGCAGCCAGATCTACAAAACATCATGTTTCTGTCAATAAATACAGAAATGATCACATCCAAACAGTGTGGTATTAAATACTTTTTAAAAGTAATAATTAGGTTATAAGAAAAGGCAGTTATACATATCTTTAGTTATTAACATGTATATTTTATGGGAGGAATTTTTGAAATCATGTGGATTCTGCATTTAGAAGAAAGCTATTGTACCGTTTCAGCAAATTTCTATCTGCATTCTTTGAGTTCCTTATTTTGCTCTTCTTCAGTCACAAATTGGGAAAGTAGTTTATCACATTCGGACATTTAGCTGCTGTTGCTAGTGTCTCCACTTCCTTCACCGCCAGATCTTTTTAATGTCGTGAAACAACTTCACTTTGCCTTGCCAAAGCAAAACCTAGAGCCACTATTTGAAATGTGTATTTAGTAATTTCATTCTTATATACTTTGACTTTCTTTTTTTTTTTTATTGTAACTGTACTTGCAAAGAACTGGATTCTTCTTGGTATTCTAGAAGTATATGAAGGGCTAAACCATCTTGCAATTTTTTGGGAGCCAACAAAGACAATTTTTATCTTAAGAAACTCTCTACTGAACCTTCAGGGTCCCTCGTACATGTCCCATTCAATGTTTCACTTTTTTCAGCATTTGCTCCAGTGATAATATTTATTTTATTATTTTTTCTCTTCATTTTCATCTAATCTCTTTTGGACACAGCAACAAACTGAAGATTCTGGACTGCCTACCCCCTCCCTCCTCAAAATTTGTGTCTGTTTAATTAATTCTTGAAGGAGATCCTTATTAATTCTCTTTGATATTAATTTATCGATTCAAATTCAGTTGTCTTGTTTCCTGGTGCAAGAAAAATTACTAAATATTAATGTGTGCAAAACTTTGACATTCTCATGATCACTTAGACAAATTGATTTTAACTTTCAAACCATGTATTAGAGAGATCAAATTAAGGATCCGGGTGTCATATTTACTTCCAAATTGTTTTAATGTGCACATTGAATTTATTGCATCTGAGGCCAATAGAATGTTGATTTTTATATGATGTTTCATCTCAAATTTAAAATCACTTCACCCCTTTAAGACATTACATTTAACTTGAGTTCATCCAATATTTTTATGTGCTTGAACTGCCTTAACAGCATATTATTAAGTTTACGTAGGAAAAAACCTAGAATCAGTTTGAAACAATTTCTAAAATTTTGTTGCTAGGAAATAAAATTTACCATCTCCTTATGTAACTCATGATTCTAGTCAAATTACTTCAAGTAATGTAAGTTCCCTAAAATCCTACAGAATGTTCTATAATTATATTTTTTGTTTAATCTTTGTAATATCAATATTGACAGTATTCATCTTTTGTCTAAACTATTTTGTAAATTCTCTCAATTCACTTATGAAATACATTTGAATTGATTTTGAGGTACAATCTATCTCAAAAAGCACCAATTGTTTGTATGTGTGATTTAGCAAATGTGCTAAAAATTGATGTATCATCATCTGCTTGTGTGTTAAAATCACAAGTAAAAAAACAAATTACTTAAAAACTTTTAATAATTTGTAAGAAATATTTTACATTTTAAATTGTAAAAAGGTGGTTGACTGTAAAATGGCAAATAAAACGATATGTTCACTCATACCCACATTTCATTGCTCATAATGCAATAATAACATTCTAATGTAAGTTCCAAAAATGTTTTGAAAATTATTTTCAACTTTCTTGTATTCATATTAGAAAACAAGAAACTGTTATCTTCACATACTACTGTCTTTCTCACTAATTCTATTTTGTTTGTCTAAACCATAGGCTTATCAGGTGGACATGACCTCCACAGTAGTTTTATTCAAATCCCCCCCCCCCTGACCTTTTTTTAATTGAATATAGTTTCAGAAAAACTTATAATAATCCCAGTAATTTCTGAAAATGTGATTACACATTAAGATTTTGATTATATTTCATTTGACAAAAAGGCAAGTAAAGAATTTTATTTAGATGCCCCCAATCGGGCAGGTAGATCCAGGGCTACCCTCAGACCTACATTTTCTTATCTAACAAAGAGAAGTCAAATGTTTCCCACCACAACTGCTGTAACCTCTGCTGCCATAAAATTTCTGTCAAAGTGTATTATTGAACAGCTATCGCTAATTTTACCATTTTCTAATCTTCTGTGTAGACCTTGTTAATTTCGATAAACGAAAAAAAAAAATTCATGGATTCAGCTAGAATTCAAGAGAGGTACTTTTGATAACCCCCTTCAAATTTTTCCATGTTAAATATGCTTGTGGTCTGAATAATGCTACTATTACTTCCATAAACACACCAACGTATTTTCAAATTTTTCTTAGAAACCTTCCCAACTTTTATCGTCAATTAGAACAATGTGGTACATGGTTAATAATAAAGTTAAGGAGCCATTTCATTAAAATAATTCAATTCCAAAAATTGAGCAAATGCTCAGTTTTTTTCTAATCATTTGTTTTCATATATGTACATAACAAAATTTAAATTTTCTCAAAAATGGCTCCAAGAAGGTGCCTCTTCTGCCATGGGGGTGCTCAAGCTGCACCACCAACGTACAAGGTTGTTTGCTTCCTAGGTGGAGAATAAAAAATAGAAAATGATTAATGCATGTATGATTGCATGCTTCTTTGCTCCCTCAGTCCTATATTCATTAACGAATGACAATTCTGAGTCACCAGACAGATGATATCCAAACCACTATATTCAAATAAACTACTCTTGATCTCTAGAAAACATCTATTCTCTACTATTATTTACTAACCTATTGCAAATTTGCAGGTGTGAATCTAGAAAGTTAAGCAGTCAATTTTAGTTCCTCACCATAAATATTTTTGAAATAAATTAATTTTTTTTTCCTGTTGTGAAGTGAAAAAATGTGAATATTTTCAAAATTTACTGCTTTTGGTGTGTTAAGAATTAAAGTGATTACTAAGAATAAACCGAGAAAAATTTAATGTTTTGTCACGGGGAGCATGGCCCATGATAATAAATGCCAGATGTGGCAACTTGTTTTAACTTGTAACTTAAGAAGTCTTAATTTCTGTTTCTAAAACCCAAGACGCTTCAACATGGCCAATTCATAGTACAGCAGACTTTAACACATTATGTACCATAAATTTTTTGGCACAATTATTTATATAGCAATGGCCTTCACTGTGTGTTTATCCCGTACTTCATGTGAATATCATGAAAACCTTTCAAAAATTTCTGAAATGTTTAATGATTTTACAAGATATTCCATTAAGCATATAATACTCACTTCACTACACAATGCTTCATTTGAAAAAGTTTAATACTTTTAATGCCAGTTTTTAAGTACTAAATATTATTTGAATAGGAATTTGCCAGTAGATAGGGATTGTAATTGTACATTTTACCTCATGGTTGTAAGTGGAAGTGGCTATTTCTAGTGAAAAATTTAAAACCTTCGAAATTGATGTTTGTTGTGATAGATGATTTGTTATTATAATAATCTCTAGCATTGATAAAACTTGTGCATAAAATGAGTTTGTTAATGTGTTTGTACCATCATAGAAAGCAGTTCAAACCGCAAACTTGAAGGTAAGGAATGAGGAAAGAGACACAAGGTTTTAAAATCATTCATATACAATACAAAACATTCATTTACAAAGTGATTTTGGAATTATTGATTATTTACCAGATATGTACTTACTACAAATGTTCCAAAGATTACATATGAATGTGTCCGAAAATATGCAATAATTCCTGACAAAAAACATTTCAAAACAGTTTTGTAAATTGATATCAATATATAAGTATGCCAAATTATTAAAAATTGTTGCCAAGATTTTGATGAAACTAGATACAAGCTATATATGGCAAGGATTATGGCAGCAATAATGTTGGTCCTTTTTGTACCAATGCCATCAGGTAAATAAGAATCCTGCTGCAATATTACTTCAGTAACATTTAAAATTACATGTATGAGCTATTATCACACATGGTCATTATATTGATAGAAATAGACATTAATACATATAATCTACAGTAACTGAACTAATATTGACTTACCTACAATAATTTGTTTCATACTTTTTTGTAACATCCTAGTAATGTCAAAATTGATTATTAACAGTCATAAAAGTATATAAAGTTCTTGACCAGGCTAAATTCTTGCATAACAAAGTGTGTCTCAATTCCACCTTGCATATTTTAAGCAAGTCATTTTATACAAAATGCGCCAGAAGATAAAAATATTAACTGAAAATTAACTTAAATAGCTGCCGAAAGGTTGCTAAGATTCCAATTGGCTCCTGAAAATCATTCTATATTGTTCTGAGTATTCGATACATAAGTACATTTGACAGCAAATATCAATATAAAATGTTTAAAATAGTGATCAGTTATGTTTTATTAAGTTATTTTAATAAAGAAAACCAACCTTCAAAACAAGGTTTAACAACAGGAAAGTTAACATTTTTGTACTGAATAAAAAATACAGAGTGAATAAATAATCAAAATGCTGTACAACTTAAAAATCACAAGCTTTTTCTCTTGTGTTTTTAATATAACTTCCGGTCACAGCTTCATTCATACACAAATGCAACTTAATGTGTAATGCCCACAGTCAAAACAATTTTTTATTCAACATTTTGTAATAACAACGCCTCTATATTTAATGTCAAATTAGTTTTAGCCTTTCTACTTAGGACAGTATAAAACATTATACAAATGACATAAAAAGAGTGCTTCAGAACAGACTACCTCTCAAGCAGAGAGAACATTTATATAAAACAATTAACCACGTGGAAATTGACAGTGAGTATTATGGTATTAACATTACTCAGTCGTTCCAGCTGCCATCTCTGCACTAGCGAATACTGCTGAATACACGATTTAAAAATTAAAATAACTGCCTGGACACGAACTATCTTGCATGTAGCAATTCTGTTAGTAAGAAATATACACATTGCAAAACATACAATATCTGACAATACATATTTCTACTAGACCACTAAAAGGCTATAAATAAAATACGAATCAATGACTGTTCTGAAATCATATGAATGACTTAAAAGTTCACATGTAAATCTTTCATACAAGTTATAAATATACACATTATTTTCATTCATCACAAATAAAACTTGAGGGAATACCATTACAGCCATTCTCTTCCCTCTTCCATTGGGGAATGAAAATGAGCAACACTCGCATACCAAATTACAATTCACAATTTCCTTTTGCCTGCTTTTTCAGCTAACTTTTCAGCTTTACGCTGCAGACGTTCCTTCTCTTTGCGGTCCTTCTCTTGTTGACGCCGTTCCTTCTCCACCTATGGATATCAAACAAAACAAAGCTAACAAACACATTGTATGAGAGAGGTGCATCAATTATGAAACCAACTCTAAACTCTCTTTCAGATACACTCTTGACCCAGCATTGTGTCCACTTGAAAGAAGCAAATAAATACTACGATGTTAGATAGCTACACACATCTTAAAGGCTCCTTCCACATCTGCAGTACCATCTGCATCCTCCTCACCAACCGCTTCTCCACATCTTATCCCTCTCTTACCAATGGTGTCGAAGCAGATAATCCTTTGCTCTTCTAAATCCCACCCCTAAATCGCTATCCATCTATGTCCTACTACCTACTGACTGTTCCAGCAACGGTCATTGGCACCCACATCAGTGTGCATTTTCAAGAGATGTAACGTTGTTGTCTCAAGAGGTCCTTTGCGAACACAGTGCATTACAATTTTGACAGCTGGCTGGTGAGTTTGGTCACGATCACAGAACCATGCATGATATAGGGCTGTAATATACACCCTATTGCATCAATTCAGAAAGTTGTGTATTTCTTTGTATGAAGAGAGACAGAGAGTGCGCGAGAGAGAGAGGGGGGAAGGAGAGCGAGCCTGAAATAACTCATCTACAAACGTGAATGTATGTGCACATGCAAGCATGACAAGAATGCCAAATAAACAATAATTAAAAGAGATTGCTCACCTGAACCCGCAGCTCCTTTAGTTTTCGTTTCAGTTTGTTCTTATCTTCTCCATTGATGCCGAACTGTTTTAGATCACGCGACTCCAACTGCAGCAAAGTTAATCCTGTAATTTGCTGTTCCAGAAATTTTGAGATATATTGTTCCATGTTTAGAGTCAGAAGCCACTGACAAACCTAGAAGGAAAATGAAATTTCAAAATAAGTAACCCCATAAAATGGTTTGTATCTTTTTTTAATATGTGAACTACTACGGGAAATCTGCTACGTTAAAAAGTCTTAATTGGCATTGTCCTCCTCTCTCAAATATGTCTGTAAATTCAATTCAGGGCAGCAGGGCGATGCCTTCGGCAGCTTTTACCTTAAATTATGTATTAGAGTACATGGTACCATGCCACAAGATAAAGAAGACCAAGGTTTTATGGAAACCTTAATTTTAGTGAACCTAAAATCTGAGTTCTGCCACTGCAATAACAGTAAAGCAATTGATAAACAGCTTGGTATCATTTGTAGCGATTGAAATGATATCTAACCCTTCCTGGCCAGTTATTCCATTTTCTGATATTCCCATGTGGTCAGGGACCAAACAAAAATGTTGTACTTAGAAACACATGACTAGAAGAAAATTCAATTTCCCAAAAATTATGATGCCAAGACTCTTTCCATTGAATGAACAGTTTAAAGTAACCTTAAGTATGAAGTATATTGAACGTTGTGGCTTCAGACATTTGTTAGCCCAGCTAATACAGTCTGGGTTTTGTAAAATACTCCATAATATACTTTGTATTTTGATTCAAGCAGTTCAATACAGATTGATTTGCACAGGATAGCCCAACTATTAAAAGCATATTACATAGCTTCTGGTATTTCTAATAATAATAATTTGAGAAATGATTGCAAATAGGGTAGTGCTATGGTCAGTCAACCAGCAGCATGGTGGTACAGCAGTTAGGGGCAGGAACCAAGTACCTGGACAGTATGTTGACACTAAATTGTTGCTTTGAAATCCAAGTACGACATGGATGCTTTTAGTTGTGTCTGTGGCATGGATATCGTCCCCAGTCACTTGTGTATCACCTTTATAAATAATCATTGCCATGAATGGTAATTATTATATGTGAGAGCTGTGTGAAATCTACGTGGGCAATGAATTCTCTATTCCACATTCTATAGGTCCAATATGCACAAAAAGATCAATTTTATTTATAAAATGTACTTGAGAAGAACTAGTGTTCTGAGTTTCATGCAGTTTAATGATGAGAGACTTGCACACAACAGATGAAATATTAGAGGCAAATAAATTGCAAAATATTCACCTTCATTTTAGATCACCTTTATAAATTTTGGAATCAATATGTGCCATGTTACAGCACCACTAGTTTTCCCTGGTATTCAAGATGACTTGGTTCACAGGTCACCCTGAATTATCATTTGATAGCATGTTTCACCATCATGTCCTGCTCTAGCCTTAAGTAGGGTATGCATTGAACAAATGCCCCCCCCCTCCCCCGCCCCAAAAAAAATAACAACACAGGCTAAGCAAAGAACTGTACCTGTTCTTTTGACCACTCTGTAACTGGTGCACTTTGCCAGAAATGTGATTTTCTTTCACCCTGAAAAGAGGTTTGCGAATCTTGAGGATGTGTAGGGCTCCATACTTCTGGATCTGCAATCAAAATTCAAAGGGTAAGCATGGATTAACATTAATACATAAATAATGAATATTAATTACAGCCCTGGAAAATTGTTTTTCAGGAGAAAAATTTTAATTGGGCTCAAATCATCAACACTATCACGTCCGTGGTCTATGAGAAGGGGGTTTACCCCATACACCATTGTGAGTAGCCCAGTTGAAAGCACAGGCCTCTGAAGCTGCAGTGAATAGATACTTGGCTGTTTGGGAGATGCCTCATCCTAGGCACAGTTGTCAATGTTTCAGCCATTGTATTATGACTTTCCTCACAAGTTTTATACTAACTTGTAAGAATGCACATAAAAAGCAATATACGTGCAGAGAACAGGTTTGATCCTTTTCACCTTTCACATCTTGACTGGCTGAACTTAGATTTTTCCCTTCTCTTAGAATGTCAAAATGAAGGTCTGGTTAAATTTCAGATTAGACTGAATTTCAACACTATGATAGTTTCCTTTGATCTTATTTTCCTGGGCTATTAGTATAAGAGAGTATTATAAATATTAATAAGTGCAATAGTTATAATTTCCTTCCTCTGTAAATTACTCAGCTGATGACTGCAAGATTATGAAAGGAGTGTGAAATTACCTGCTCCTAGTCTGCCTGCACTCGCGTCACTAGCAGGGCCACCAGGTGAAATACTGCCAGACGATGATACTGATGAAGGAGATGGAGGTGGAATATCTTGAGTGACTGTTTGCTGTGGCCACATAAAATCTGAAATAAACAAGTATGATATTGTCATGAAGTTGAAGTTCGTCTAAATGCACAGCAACTGTTAATCAAGTTCACTCTTGAAAACTTTATAAATACACAGAATTTATTCTTTTACAACTCTATATTAATTGAATGTGAATGTGACAAGATCTCTAAAAGGGATAAGAAAAGAGTACAGGAGGGGAGGTCACAGAACATCAAACAGAGCAACGAGGCAAAGAGAGAGGAGACATGGAGAGACTAACAGGGACAGACTCGGGCAACAATAGATTGGAATTTTCATAAGACAATTGATAGATCCAATTGAGGGAATCGGTAGATGACAGGCCTGTTTATTATTTTTTATGTGCCCAAAACAAAATTATAAGAATGTAAAGTTTTTAATTGTAAATTATAGAATCAGCTCATTTTGGTTGCTACAAGATAAACAAAGAAATGAAGATATAAGAAAAGAATTAAATATACTTAGTTCAATTGATCGTATACAACTATACAAACAAGACTGGAAAATCATTTAGAAAGAATGGAGCACAAAAGGCTATCTAAACAAGTGCTGCAGTACAACCCAACAAGAATACGGAATGTAAGAAGATTATGCAGAAGATGGTTTGATATGCGAAGATGGAACAGGCAGCTGCCTAATCCTTGCAGAAAAAGAAGAGGAAGACAAAAATAATACATATGCGACAAAATAGGACTGCAGTAAAACTTGCTGGAACAGACATCTCAATTAAGTAGTCCCTATATTGAAAGCCATTCTTTTTTCTGGAACCAAATGATTTTCCCCCAAGACTTGTAAACATTCCCTTTTTTTAGTGATCATGTGGCCTCAGCAGCAAGGCACTCTTCACAGACTAACCTAAGTTAGACGTCAGATGATTTATTCAAAATTTCAGAAGAATTTAGGATTTTGGTTTGTAACACTTGTGAGAAGGAGACCAGTGGATTTCACTTTTTATTCAGTATATTCCTGCCTCTAAATGAAGAAAAAATAGTGTGTGATAGCTGCCTGCAACTTCAACTACCACTGCTGTTGTTTGATATTCAAAAGAACATTTCGGGTGAAATCAAGAAAAAAAAGATTGTGGTGTAGCCAATAATGTTGGGAAAGATGAAAAGCTGACAAAAAAGGCAACCAACTCAGAAAGTTTCTCTTCTGACAGTAGTGTATTGGATACTGTGGACCTAGAAAATCAAATAATTAGAATGGGGGATGACTTGAACACAGGGATTCAATATGTTCTAGTGAAAGTGCTAGAGTCTATCAACTTCAAGATGAAGAAAATCAATGATACAAACAAAGCATATCAAGTCAATATGAATAAAAACAAACTTTTAAAAGAAGGAATCAAAATAGCAAAAGAAATGGTGGAAAAAAAAAATTCTGAAACTGAGACTAAATAAACTTGAACAATAAAAAAAAAAAAAATTGTAGAAATTTATGGCATTAGGAAATCGGATAAAACTCTCCTACAACCAAATGAAGAAATCACAGGAAAAATCAGAAGCAACTTGGACGTACCAAGTGGTGTAGGTAATTAAAAAAACTACAGGTGTAATTAAAAAACAATGTCAAGTTGATGGTAAGTTTTAAAAGTGAACATGACAGAAATTACTTCAATTTTAAGGGGAAAAAAGTGGTGGGGTATAAGATGATTGGTGACCAGAAGAAAATATAGGACAGACAGGACTTCAATGAATGTCTTGTTCTTGATCAAAGGTAAAACTCCAGGCTTCAAATTCATATGGATTAAAAGTGGCAAAAGAGTATGTATGAATATGTTTTGTATTGAGAATAATATAACTAGTGGTGCTACAACAGCACATACTTCCTCGTCTGTATTTTCACCCAAAAGTACTCAAATTTTCCAAAAGTTGTACATGATTTTTTTTTTTTTTTTAAATTTGGAAAACGTTCCAGCCAAAAATGAAATATCAGTTTTAAATTTAAGAGGCTGCGACATCAGCAAGCCAGAAGTGAATGAATTTCAATTTGTTTAAAAATGCTCACCTTTGATCACAATGTCTTCTGTTGATTGATGAACTTCCTCAGACAAAACCTGTGAAACACCTTTCTTCACTTCAGTGATGGTTTCTCTACTTGGAACATCCCCAGAAATGCGCCGTTCTCGTTCGGCCAGCACTTGTTTCAATTGCTCGGCGAGGGAAGGAGGAGGGGCAGCCAGGCCGTGAGGTGGGCCTGTGGGGTAGGAAGGGTTCTGGCTTTTCCCTTGGCCACGGATCACCCATGGATCAGGACTTGGGTGATGCTGGGCATTTGGGGCTGCAGGGGGTGTGGAATGAGGAGGATTATGATGTGGATGGATGTGAAGAGCTTGCGACGATGGACTATGAGTTGCAGGGGAATATATAGCATTAGAAGTAGAATTATATGATGACATAATTCGACTGTGTTGCTTAATATGCCCAGAGCTCTGCTGAAGCAAAGCTGAAGATGAGTGTGATGTCTGTTGCTGAGATTGCAAAGGATGATGCAATTTTTGTTGGTACGGTGGTTGTTGAAGCGATTGCTGTTGCTGCTGAAAGGAAAGTATCTTAGAACACAAAAATAAATACAATTTTGACTGACAATGCTACCAAAAAATTGAATACAGTCATACCTCAACAGGAATGAAGTTCCTTTTAAAAACTTAATGAAATGCATAGCGTTTCGTTGTTTAGAAAGAAAATTGTGCCCATAGAAAAGAATATTAAGTTCAATACAGTTTGTAACACACTGGGAGGCACAAATTAATGTACTATGGATATCAAGTTTATAAAAGGATTTTACTCATTACACCATGAAAAGCAAAATTCCTTCAAATTTCAAATTCTACTTAACATTATGTATTCATGTTTACACTCTATAATTTCTGTTGATCAGGAAATATCGTATTTATTAAGAAGAAAGTGCCCAAAAAGTACATTTTTAATGTACGATTATGCATTGACACATAACATGTTACCATTTTCAATTAATATTTTTAAAAATTGTTCAATATTATTACCTGTTGATGCACTGCTGAATACTGACTCACTACATTATGCATATGTACAGTAGAAGAACTTGGGGAGACACCAGTGCTGCTGAAGGAAGATGAAGAAGATAAAACAGTAGGTCGAGATACAGAAGGCTGGTTACAACTGGATGAATTTGAAGAAACTGTCTTAATTTCAGTTCTATTTTCACTGTTACCAATATAATTAATAAACCGTGAATTATTTTTTTCATCATCACTGGAATTATCACTACTCTCATCTAAACCATATTCCTGAAACAAAAGTTGTAAAATTAACTTTAGTGTTGGTTTTCAAGTGTGAAATAGCAACACTAATGAAATTATGTAAAAATAATGAAATTAAATAATAATTAGTTGAGCACATGTGAAACATTGTTGAAATAAACATTGTTTCAAAAGTGGAAATAGCATCAAATTGTTCTATCACTTTGAAGTGCAAGACCTTTGAACTTGGTAGCCATGAGACTGTGCAAGCAAGCATTCTAGTATTGGTAAGCATCAACACTTTGTGGATGATTAAGTCCCCTTCAGCTCCTTTTCCTCATTGAGAGATACGGTAAGACTTTTTAACAAAGGAATCTGACCAAGAGCATAGATGCCACTAACACAGCACATTATTTATAGTGGCAAGTAACTGTTTGTTTTGTTATAGCTTAAATCAAACTAGTAGGCCACAAGGATTAAAGTATAAATTGTAAGAATTTTTGTAAAAGTACATCATCATTCTATGCTCATCTTCATTACCTTAATATTAATTAAATGTGTTGTGAAAATGATTCTATTTATTTTATTGAACATGCAATCTGCATCCCAATTACTAGCATGTTATAAACGAGATATTAAGTTCTCAATTAAAATATTTATTAACTGAAAATGAGCAAATGTACAACTTACGAAATGAGAATCCATTTCAAATTTTGAAACACAGGACATTATGTGGTCTCTATTTTCCCACTATTCTTGAAAGCGTTCAGGGTTTTCTTTTGTACACAGTGTGCGGGAAGTGAATTCCATGGATTCACTACTCGGTTTACAATAAAAGGTCCTGTCCTTGTCCTCTCTTCACTAGTTTCAACGTATGTTCTCTAAGGCTAGATTCCATGGCTTTAGTAAAGAAGTTGTTAAATTCAGCAATGTCCATTCATGATTTTAAAATTTTCTAAAATATCACTCATATTTTCTTCTCTGTTTAAATTTCAGAAGTGATATTTCTCTAAATCTTCCTTCATAATCCAATTGACGTAGTTCTCTAGGGATCTTTGTAATCTGCCTTTGTACTTTTTCAATATTTTTTTATCTTTAATAATAAGGGGGCCAAACCACATTAGCATACTCTAGTTTAGGTATGACAGACATCGTCAGTGACATCACATATGTCAGACATCAGTTTTACCATAGATGGCCGCAATGTAGAAAATGCCTTTCTGATCATGTATAATAGCTTATTGGTTCTTTTGATAACAGCAACTAGTTGGTATTTTATTTCAAATTTCGAGTGATAAGAACACTGAGATCATCTTGTTCTATCGTAGAATTGAGGATGTGACTTTCAATGCTATAATTAAGATTTGGGTTTTTTTTGCTAGATGGAAGACCGTACATTTATTGAAGTTTAAAGGCAGCAACCAAGATTCCGATCATCTCACAACTTTGTTGAGGTCATTTTGTAACATCCGATAGTTTTTTAGTGTATTAGAGAAAAGTTTAGTGTCATCCGCATAGCAGTTCCAACTTGAAGACAGATCACCTAGGTCGCAAGTGTATAAAATGTAAAGTATTGGACCTAGAGCTGAACCTTGGGGGACACCACTTGTAACACTGGGACACAAGGTCTCAACAGTGTGTTTCCAATTGCCACCTAGGTCAGCAATTCCACAACTGCTCGTGGTGCAGAGACTCTGAATGTTTCTCTACACTGGAATTCACTGTAGACTGAATGATAACAGAGTGTAGCAATGATTTTCCCTTGTTCCCAAATGGTGAGCTGAGATGCAGCATTTCGCACAATTAGGTGAAGATGCAGTTGACTTGGATTATGCACATTCTTTGTCCCCACTGCCAATTCAGACACAGTCATTCCCTGGGAATAGGCAAGATAGATGTACCTGTGCTCTTCTAAGAAATAGGGTGAAGTTCCCTGAATATAATAGGGGTGATACCTTTTTGGACTTTTCGATCAACAAAACAATAAAAGTCATCCTGATAATGACATCAAAGAAAAAGCATGCAAAATTTTGCGACTGAGTTCCCGGTGATACTTTTGTTCCGAAAATATCTTATAGACACACGTGCTACCCATGGACAACCATACAGGGGTTCTGTGGTGCTTCTTTGTATCCAAATTGTATCTACAGATGCGGGTAGCCTTGAAGTCATGTGACTAGAAAGTCAAGGGAATGCAAGAACTTTGCAGTTCACAAGCGTATATATGTATTTTTTTCATACATTATAATGAACTGAGTTGAATCACGCACTTAACTGAATACAATGACATATGTAAATCTGTGCTAGCAGTAGGTGATAAATCTAAAAAAAATACCTGTTTTCCTGTTTTATTAAATTCCCAGTTTTCGAGCATTCCAGGTTCGCTGGCCACCCTGAGTAGATAACCAATCCTTTGGCCACTGTGCTCTTAGAAAGTCTGCTGGGACTATTTTATATAGTGTGGGGTCATGCAGGGTGCAATAATACACAGACAAGAGTGGTTTTAACTTATTGCTAGTTTATTAATAAATTAATCCACCACCGAAATAAACCTTAAACAATAGTTAAATAAACAAATTAAATCGACCTCACTACTAGAAGTCATTTTTATTCTATGGCTACCACACCCTCTACTGAAATATCGAATAGATTCGATCATGTGAAGCACCACAGAATTCCTACATGACTTGTCACTTGAGTCTAACTACTTCATGACAAAGTACATTGCCGGCCCTAGCCTACGTGTACACAGTCTGCACCCCACCGGCACGTTGTCTCCGATCTGCACAGCTCGGGTCCTTGAAGAAAAAAGGGACCGGTGAAGCTTTAAGCCACCTAGCTTGGCTGGCAGCATCTTCCACCCCTTTCTCTGGGTTTTTACACTACGCCACATCCTGACGCCCCACCCTTAACCCAAGTGGTCTGCCCCGCAGCGAGCACATGGCCACCTGTATCTATGTTTGTGCACAACACTACACTAACTACCCGCCTTTTTTTTTTACATGATAAAAATAAATTTTACATCCAGTTTACACATGATTGTAGAAGAAATTGTGAGATCTCATAAATAATTAAAACTATAAATACTCACTGAGCTGCTATTACTAAGCCCACCATTCTTCTTGCCAGATGGCAATTGGCGTCCAGCAAGACCCCCTCTTGTTGCTAGTTCTGCTTTTGCTTTTGAGGCTGACACATCCAATAATTCATGAGGAGGAACAGCTCTGTCCAACTCTTCCTTCACTGGCATCTTACAAAAAAAGGTATAATTTTCAATATTCCTTGCTCTTAGTATTATTTGTCATTGCAAAATATTAATAACATCATAAAGAAGTAAAATACCTTCCGTTCAACTGTTGCAGTTTTGTCCCCATCTTCCGGACTTATATCTGAAATTTCTGTATCAGAAAGTTCTGTTTCAAGTTGTTGCAATAATGGTTTCACGGGAGGAGCCTGAAATGAAAAAGAAAAAATAAATAGTCAATAAGTAAATAGTACATCATAAATTACTAGGTGACATAACTTGGCAAACACTTTAGGAAAAAATGAAACAACTATTTCTATCCCCCACACACACACACACACACACACACACATCAGTCAGTTTTCGGCAAATAATATCCCATTGAACATTATTTTTTCTTATTCATTTAATAAGGGGGTTGTGCTTTGACACCAAGAGTGGCTTGAGTAGTATTAAAACACAGGCCATTTAATGTGGCTGACAAGATTCATGCAGATCACATAACATTTACATATTTTCTTAAAATTATATCATGAAGTGCCGATACAGGAATACAGATAGGACACATCTCACTCCAAATACAGTCCTAAGACAATCAGTGTTGTCTTATTTTAAACCATATTATATGACATAGACAAAAACAGTTGCGCCCGCCAGTAAGTACTCATACATAGCAAGAAATTTGTGGAGCAAAACTTCTAATTATTTTTCACCAATTTTTCTCCCTCCCCCTCTGCTCCCAGAAGATACTGTATGTGATGTATGAGAGAGATGTACAACATGCACATGTTTTCTTGAACGTGTAATACATTGAGTACAATTATTTTTCATGTATTTATTTTGGACACATGACATGACATGACAATATATATACAATGACATATGCCAATCTGTGCTAAAAGTTGTCAATAAAATCTGGAAAAAGGAAAACAAAATCTCGGTTTTCATATAAAATTTCTACTTTTTCCCAGGTATTTTCAAATTTTCGTTTTCCAAGGATTCCAGGTTTGCTGGCCACTACTTAACTACCCTATGCCACCTGTTTGTTGTTACAATAAATAAATAATTATAACCTGGGGTCGGCGAAGAGGTTGAGGTGTCAGCTGACGTAAACCTGTGCTGTCATAGGGTAACACTGAAGGTAGCCCTGCTTTTCGCTGAGTTTCAAGCAATTCTTGTTCCAACTGGATGACCTGGAATAATTAATAGTATATTTTATAGTAGATTATTTTATTATGGCAAAAAGGTAAACTTAACAATACATCCCCAATTTAATAAAACAAGTAAAAGTAAATAGTTTACAAATAATAGCAGAGAGCAAATAAAAATAGGAAAATACATATCAAAACAATTAATGTCATAGCAATTTATTAAAAAATACTTGAAAGATTACTAGGCACAATTAGGATGGGAAACAATTTCAAATCTTTGGAGAAACTAGGGTTGAATCCTGAAAGTATTTTGGGAGGAGAAAATAGCAATATCAGTTTGGACCAATGATATGTTAGTGAAAAAAGGTACTCTTGTATCTCTGAGATTTTGAAATACACATTGGATGGATACACATATGGATGTCTGAACCCAATCTTTTTCTTCCTGTCCATTCTTGAACAACACTAGTGCCTAGAATATCCAAAGGATTAGTCCCACAAAGAATAATCTCCATTTTGAAAATTTGAAAACAATATTTTAATTTTTTGGGCTACTTCAAATAAAGTCTTAGTTAAAAAAAATCAAAAAAAATCCTCCAAAATCACTTCAATTCCATTAAACATTTTTTTATCAAATAGAGAAAAGTACATATTAAAAGTATGGTTTCAGTTGAATTTTTAGTAAATCCTCTTAATTTTTGAATACAACAAAATCAACTTTTTTTAATTTTACCAGCACTTTTATTGTTGAAGTTTGATTTCTTTCGTAATGTAATTTATTCTACAAAATTACATCTTCAAAAGTTTTCATGTAGAGTTTCATAGACATTTGAGTAGTTTCTGCTTCATTTCGAGTCATACTGACTTTTATGAAAAATGTGTAAACAAAAGTTTCCAAAGAAAAGCTTTTAACCTTTTCTTTAAACTTCTTGTAAGGAAAGAGCACAATTTACTAAATCATAAGGGTAATTTTGATCAAAATTATTGATTTTGCAAGAATTACACATACTTTTTTTTTCTTGCAAAACTTTAATATTTACATTACAGGTATAAGGGGGAAAACAATTATTTAAATTAAGAAGGATGGGAAGGGTTCTTAAGGAAACACTAACATATTTGAGAATTTCAAAAATAATTTGGTTCTGAAGAAAAATTTTTAGATGCATGTGAAATATCTAAATTATAGAAGTTGGTTGTGAAATGAATAAAGGATTTAAAAGAATCAATTTGAAGTTCTCTAGTATGTGTTTTTGAATCTTGTATATTATTATTTGGATTCAAAGCCCTAATTTTTAAAATTATCACAATTTTTTCTCATTGAAAAATAAAAAATAAAAAGGTTATAAATGCATTTCTGAAAGTTTTATATTCATAAACTTACTTAACACACATTTTATTTATTTCACTGAAATCACACATCTTTTTTTCATGACTGTCTGCAACGTATAAAATATTTTCCAAATTATTTCAAAATAGACTTGAACCACAGATCGAATCACAACTTGAAAGTATTGATGGTTTCAGAAAAAACAGATCATGTGCAGAACAGATTCTCAGTCTAAAATTGACATTAAAATATTATAGCACTAGGCCAAAGAATATCTTTATTTATTTCATCAATTTTCAGAAAGCTTATGATTCAGCGGATAGAGAAACTGTTTTCAACATATTAAAGGAATACCAAGTTGATCAAAAAATTATTAATTTAATAAAATTAACTAATAATAATAATTATTATATATATTAATAATAATTAACTAATATGATTTCCAAAGTTAAATTTCTAAGTGAAGTCAATAAGCCCTTCTAAGTAAACACAGAGCTAAGGCAAGACAGAGCTATCACCAATACTTTTTAATGTGGTCTTGAATAAAGTCATGAGGACATTTGGGAGAAGAATGATTCAGGGGCAAAAATTGGCAGAAAGAACAAGAACCTCAAAATTAAACATTTAACATTTGCCGATGATTTAGCACTGTTTTCAGAATCAGAACAAGAAGCATTACGCCCTGAAGAAGGTTGCAGAATGGCGATTGAAACGGCACCTTCGCCACGGACGCGGCGGCACCCGGGCAGCCTAGTAAATACTGACTCCGGCCGCGGAAGCCTACGCTCTAACATATTGGTTATTATTCTTCCTACTGTCATAGTTACATCATATGATGATTACTTAATTTTTTATTATCAAATGGACAAAGAGACATTTTGGTAAAAAGGATTTTTTCTGTATCAAGGGCCCTCAAAACATAGAATCTGGCTACACTACATTTTCAAGAAAGTTATACACTACATATCAAAGTAAAAAATATAATTTTTGGGATCAGAAACCCACTAAAGAGTTTTCCTGTTAAAAAATCAGCAGTTTACACTGCAGCATTGCAATTCTCTCTCTACACTTTCTCTCTGTGGAGAAAGAGAAAAATAAGAAAGTAAAGATATTCATGCTCTCTATAATGATTGTGAAATTCCCATCTTAAATAAATGGAATCATCAAGAAAAATATGTATGAAATCTACTGTTTAGAAAAAACCAAAATGCCTCTTATCAGAATAGATCTGACACTTCATAATTCCAATGTGCAAGTTACATAGAATAGTCACAGCTCACCCTGTCCTTTAGAGTCTTGACTAGAGCATTGTATTCGGTATCCTTTTCTTGAGACAGCTGTACATAGAACTCCTCTCTGTGAAGGAGGTCCATCTCTCTCTGCTGAAAATCTCTGAGCAGCTTTTTAGCTTTGCTATACTTCCTTTCCAAGGCAATATATTGACCCTTTAAAAGATCAGAAACATGATGATAAATCTTAAACATTTCATATTGTTTTATAATTCTTTGATTATTTATTATAATTTAAACAAACCTGCGATTGTTCCAGCATATCTTGATAATTAGAAATTTCCCTTTTGGCATTAAGAAGGTTACATTCAGTCTCATGCAATTTCAAAGCTGACTGTCGAAGTTGTTCAGCATATCGTTCACTATCAGCACCAGTTTGTTCCATTTCAACCAACTGAAAAAAAAATACATATAAATACATTTCAGTGAATGTGTAGAAAGTAATGGCTTTAATGATTATTATTGTAAGAATTCTGAGAGAAATATCACAAAATTCACAAAGAGCCATTTGAAGATATGGAACAACCTCTCATCACCCGTATGTGAGTAATGGATTCAATGTGTGGACAATGGATTCCCCCACAAGATGATACTACTCAAACAGAACTTCAAGGACGAACTTGGCTCTTCCAAGAAAATATCTGTCACTCTGTACTTAAATCTGTCACTCAGTACTTGTGACCACACTGGTTGAGTCACAATTTCAAGCATAGAAAGTGAAGTTAAATAAGCTCTGAAGTTGAAACATCAAAATGAAGTGAAAAAGTGTAAATTAAAGTTTTCTTTAAACCAGAAGAAATAGTGAGAACAATAATTTGCATTCCCCTTAATTCCTGAGGAAAGAAGCTATTTTGATTTAGAAAGAAATAATTGCATTCTTATGACCCTTAGTTGTAAAAAGAAATATGAATATTATTTATTCACTTTTCATTTAGTTAACTAGATATGCTTTAATTCCATGAAAAATCATTGATTATTTCTATTAGCACACATGCAATTAAAACAACACATCTACCAATCAGAATTCAGAAAAGGAGTCAAATTGTTTAACTAAGAAACTATAACACAGACGTAGCAAAGGTATTTGCAGTCGCCATGAAATATAAACAAAAATTTACATGAAAGATTACGAACCTACAACCACATCTAAACAGTGAATAAATAAAAGTAAATTAGGGAAGTAAATGTTAAGCTAGCTGACTTATGGTACAACATAAAATATTGAATATGAATAAATTAAATGTTTTACATGTAAAACATTTGGTCTTAGGATAATGAATTTAAAAAATGTAAACATCAGTTACATTTACCAGTTCTAAGAAGTGCACCTACAGCAAAACCGTAAGGAATTACTAGTCCCCCCCAATATTTATACACATTGTATTCTCTCTCTTACCTGTCTTTACTTTTTGTGAAAAGTAATGTTTTCATGACTTTGTCTGTTTCTTCTAATATTTTATCCACAATATGTTCAATATCTTCCATTTGCAAATATTTCATAAAAACAAAAACAACGCAAGACCCATTAAAATTGAACTTTCTCAAAAGCAGTACTACGCCCTAACATCTATGACTCGGATGGTAAAGCTGGAAGCGTAAACTTCTTTAAATTTAAATTATTCTTAAATGGAAATGAAAAAATATTGAAGGAACATATGTATAATAGGATATAATTTCACTTGTGTATATATATAAAACAAAAACACATCTATTGTCGCTAGTTTTCTTGAACATAATACTCATGCAATTATTATCGCCCTCTTTGTACACTGGTTTCATGAATTACTATTATTACAATGACGTTACACATCAAGCACTTTTATAAGTAATAAGTGTAGCAATAATAAACTAGCTTGACACCTGTGAACATTCCACACTTTGTACATTTTTAAAAGTTATAGGTTCATATGGGAACCCAACTTTACGACTTACTTTTCCATTCAATTTTCTAAGTTCAGCATGCATATTTTTTGTGTATGGCATTCAATTTCTCAGAGATTTAGCTAGCCATAATATGAACATGTTGACTATATTCTCTATTAGTTGGAGGGTTTGGTTAGCAATATCAATAAATCCTGTATTGTTTTCAAAGCTAGTATAATCGAAAGTTGTTTTAATGTATATAGTACAGCTGTGCTGACCAGTAGCTGATTTGACAAATATTCTTATTCCCCTAAAGATTAATTATCTAATTGTCTGTTGGTATTTTCAATTTGCTACATATTATAATTGCCAAAGACCTGCACAGAGTCAATTCAGGAATTAGTTTGCACATTTGAATTGATGCCTACTTTACGTGGTGAGGCTCAGATCATCAGCCCCGTTCTTCTGTCTGACCACGTCAATTTTGCTACACTCACTAGTGGAGAAGGGAGGTATCAGTCAGGCAATGAAACATGCAATTTGAATTTAGCTCAGAGGCATCATTTAGGCTTGAATATCTTTTACATGCAGTAAATCTACTATCATGGGACATTCGGCTTTACTTCCCCTCCGAAGGAAGGCATACAAAGTATTTTTTTGCCCTTAAAAATCCACGGCTTAAATTGGGTTTGAACCCGCGAACTTGGATATAACTGCCCGATATGCTAACCGTTACACCATTGCTGCCTCCGCCGTTAGCACATTAGCCAGTTGGTTTGGACAAAGCTGTATGAATGATGATGAATGGACTATTTTTGACATCTAAGGTTACTGTCGGCATTAGCAACAAGGCATTGTCATTGACATGTTAATCACAAAGGCTTTGTCTTGTCCAGAGCCTTGTCTTGCCCATCTCAGAAATATGTACTGAAATGATATTTGAAATATAATTATATTAAGGTCAGGTGAGATTAGATTAGCTTAGCGTAAATATGCTGTAATAGCATGTAAATGTGTGTTGCATGTAAATATAAATTGAAAACTGACACAATGAATATTTAAACTGCACATCTTGTGTCTCATTAGCCTAAGGAACTTTCCATCAACAGTCTGATTTCTGTATATCACAAATTATCTTCTATTCGTCATAACTGTAACACATGCCCACTTCCCCTACCGTAGCACTTTGTGTTGGCTAACATGTACTTCATATGGCCAAAGTCCAAAGAAAGTTTTGAAGCTGATCCTACTTGGATATTATCCAACCATTTTGGACAATGTAAACATTAATTGGCTAATTCCTGAATTAGTCATACTTGGGATATTAGCAGTAACGTATACAGGGTGTATCTTTATTGGTGTCAAATGCTTCAGGGACACATTATTAACATTAAAACATTTCATATGAACATAGGTCTGAAAATCTTTTATTACAGACTAGATTTAGGGCAAAACAGCTGCCCAGTAACTACAGTCCTGTAAGTTTGACTAGAACAGCAGGGAAGGTAATAAAGAGACTTGTTACACAGAAATTGTTGAACCATCCCCTGACTAACAATATTGTTCCTCAACAGCAACATGGATTTATTTTTGGAAGGCCTACACAAACTTACTCAGTAAACTTGATGTCTGAACTAAGACTTTTGTATGGATGTCATCTATTTAGACCACACAAGTCTTTGATAAGGTACCACACAAGCGGCACTTGCTAAAACTTGAAGCTTTAGGAATCAAGAGAAAACTACATCGATGGATCCAGGATTACCAAATGGACAAATCCTTCCATATGTGTAAAGATGACAAACTATCAACACTAAGACCTGCCACTAGTGGAGTTCCTCAAGGCTCAGCCTTTGGACCCATTTTATTTATTTTGTTCACGTGTGACCTAGGAACTGAATTAAAATCAGAGTGGAATTGGTATGCAGGTGATACAAAATTTTGTGGAGACGCAACATTACACTATCTTGATATTCAAGACGACTTGTGCAAGACTGAGGAGTGGTCAACTACTTGGCTGCTTCGAGAAGTAGTAACTGTACTATTTAACACTATGGAAGAAATAACCCTAGGAACCAGTACTCAATTGGACCTCCCACGCACATTTCAAAATGACCTAGGAGTAATCATAAAGCAAGAGCTTGAAATGGGTGAGTCAAGGTGCTGCAGTCATAAGGAAAGCCTATTCTGTTTTCTACTTCATGAGAAGAGTTTTCTGGAAGCTTAAATCACCTTCTGTGCAGAAAATTTACACAATGTACACCAGTCCAATTTTGGAATATGCAACTGCTGTCTGGTATCCACATTCTAGGAAGATCATACAAACTCTAGACAGAGTACAAAGGTGATCAACAAAAATCTCCACAGATCTACAGCACTCAAGCTATGAGATAAGATGCCACGAAATGTCCTTACTGATATTGGAATAGGGGAGGCAAAGAGGGGATCTCATTTTGCAGAATCAAACCCAGGGATCACAGAGCTTTGGTAATAATACTGTCAATGTGGTCATTGAAATTGAGTTTACTATTGAAGAAAACTCCAAGGTATCTGATGTCAACTGCAGCCATTATCCCCCATTGAGTCTATATGGAAAACTAACAGTGTCTCGCTTTCTGGAGAAGCTAATGTGGTATAGCATTTGTCATAGTGCAATGGTATGTTGTTCAGAAGGCACAGATTTTTGACAGCTAGTAAATAAAGTTGCAACATGATGGTGTCATCAGATTCAACTATTGAACAATAAATCTTAGTGTCTTCAGCAAAAAGAATGCTATTACTGTGTTTTAAGATTGTAGGGAGTTGAGAGTTGATAAGTAAAGGGCCCAAGCGAGATCCCTGAGGGACTCCAGATGGTACACAGTAAGAGTCTGAATGGATACCATTCAGAGAAACATACTGCATTCTGTTATACAAATAAGAATTGACCCATGAAAGGAGCAGATCACCCAAACCCATCTTAGTTTATGGATTAAGTTCATATGACCAACCGGGTCAAATACCTCAGAAAAATCCTAGATTGTATCAACCTGAGATCCATCAGTGAGCAAATCAACTCAGAACTTTTTGAATATGATCAAGTTCGTAAACTTTTTGTTGATCTGGCCTCCCTGTATCCATGCTGGGAGTCTGAGAGTACAGGCTCAAAAGTAGATGCAAGATTAATGCACACATGCACATAGTTTTTCAAACAGCTTAGGGATGGCTCTTAACATGAATGTAGGGCAGCAGTTCGTCACATCAGATTTATCATCTTTTTTATGAACAGGGATATTCGTGCTCTTCTTCCAAACATCAGGAAAAGACCCACATCTGAGGGATTTATTAAATAGTAAGAATAACGGGCTAGCTATGGCATATCTGCAATGTGACAAAAACAGATTAGGTATGACATTGGGACCTGGACCCTTTCTTGAATTTAAAGAACCAAGCATCTCAAAGATATCACACAACTGTAATTGAAGATTGTTGATGAAAGGGTCCTCGACAATCAAAACTGGAGAAAATGTCGGACAGGATTGTTGTGTTGTTGGAAAACCGATTACTGAAGTATTGTGCAAAAATGGATAAGGTATCACTCAATTCTGTACAATGAATATCCTGATAGTGCATATTACATGGATATGGTTGTGATTAGTGGTGAAACATACATGATTCTAAAAAACATTGATATTAGAAGATATAGATTTTTCAAACAAAGAAATATAATTATCGTAGGAAATTTATTGGAACTACTTTACTTTCGCTCTGATGGCAGAAAGCAAATCACAAATCAGTAGATTTTGATGATTTATAGTCTTTATGTAACCTTTTCTTTTCCCCGATGAGATGACTCAGTTTTGTGGAATACGAGGGCAGGTAAGAGACCAAAAATCAGCCTCGCTGGATGATACCAGTGAATTAGTGAATATCATAAAAAATGTCCACATTCGTAATATCCATGCTGCTAAGACAGAACTCCAGTCAATCAGATTAAGTTCAGAACAAATAGTTATATAATCGGCATTTTTAAAAATCATAAATGTAAGTAGGTTTCAAATCACAGTCAACTGAATGTAATAATGATGTAAAAGTGAGCACAGTGTGGTAAGGATCACATTTGATAAGATCAAGCAACGAGTTTTATTTGATTAACAATACCATTATGTTGCCGCAGGTTCAGTACAGCCAGCGTGTTTAAAATTTTAGTAACTGTCTCATTAACAGAAGAACAAAGAACGGGAGGAAATGTTGGAGAGACATAGCTGAAATGTGCCCAGCCAAGTTGCGGAAAATTGAAATTACCGGTCAAAAGCATAGAAGCTGATGGACTTGCTACTGCAACAATTAGATAATTAGAATATGTGTCACATAATGATGGATTGGAGCATGGAGGATAATATATGACCCCAACAATCAGACTAACCCTATTAAGTAAACCTTTATTAAGTTAACCCTATTAAGTAAACAAAAAGATGTACAATGTTTAGGGCAACGGTAGTGACCAGAAATGAAGTCAAGGAATTTCTGACCGCAATGAGAATACCACCACCTTGTTCTTAATGCTGGAGTGAGCATCATGATTTGGACGAAAAATAGTATAATTATGAATCTGAAGTTTGTCATCAGAGAAACTGTCACTGAGCTCACTCAACAATATCTTGCTCAAGATAATAATGTCATAGTCAATGATTGTTGAACAGATAGATCTCTACAAGCCTGCAATTTTCGTTCGCAAGCCTCTGACTTTCTGGTAATAGACATGAAGTTCATTAATGGAAGATACTCTGGAATATCCCTGACTTAATTTTTTAGATTCTAAATAATCTTTAGGACACCATTTCTGTAAACTATTCTCAAATTCTTCTTGCTGTTTCCAATACGATTTTCCAATTCAGTTCTCAATTTAGGTACTTTTGTTGTTTTGGTGTAATATCATTTCCAGAAGAAATACAAAGAGGTTTAAGCTTGTTTTTATTATGCAGAATAAGTTTAGCGTCAACATCAATCGAAAAGGTCACTTTCAAAGTAAGGGGCGACTTTTCCGGTCCTTCCCAATTCTCATTGCTGACACCATCATAGGAAAAAGGGGAATAGATTCAAGTTTGGTATTGAGACTCTCAAGATTATTAACCACTTCAGGTTCGATGACATAATCATAGTTGACATTCGAGGCCCATTTGTGACATTCTTCTATTTTCCAAAGCAAGTCTTTTTCCAGAGAACGGGAGACAATCAAGTGATTATCAGCACTTTCAAGTAATTAACTCTCTCTGAGAGATTTTTAATTTCTGTGACCTGCTCTACAATCCACCAAAGTCAGCTGTTTAAATTCGGCATTGAAAAAGTGGTGCTCAAGCGCCACATCCCATTTGTTTGTTGTAACCATAGCACAGCAAGAAGATAATCTTCCGTTAGATAAGGTCTTCTGGGGAGAATAACTTGGATAATATGGTGTTTTACAGACTTTGCATTTCTGGACTTCAGCGCCAACTAGAAGTTCCTTTTAACTACAGCCACAAATAGAACAGGAAGATGGTTTTGGAGACCTGACGGATGCATCACTAGAGACCGATTCTCTATCACTCTGAGAATTGCCGCTACAAACCATACATATTCAGAAACTAGGGAGTTATGAAAATTGATTAGGTAGCACCATTGGAAACAGGTCTTAAGATGCGAGTAGGACTGGCATGAAATTCAGGCTGCCAAAACGCTAAGCGATAAGAATCAACCTTAAAGTAATGTCACAGGATCCAATAGATCACCAGCTGCATGCAGTAGAGAAAGCCCAGACAGTTATTCTTGTGAGCTGGCAACACAGCTTGGCTTAGTACATAAACACGTGGTTGGTATGAGGTTAAACATACCAGTTATCTTGATCATCTACCATGTTTCAAAGCAATGAAATAAGTTCTGTTGCATTGCACCACAGTACACAAGAGCCAAAAGATACTTGAAATCACAGAATAAGAAAAATTACTACACAGCTCAATCACTATAGCACTTGAAGCTCACAGTAAACTATATATTTCAACCAGGAAGGAACACACAAGATAAATGCAATCAGTAAATTATGGTTAATCTCACATAGTGTTTTAACACACAACGGTTTCTTCCGATGCCAACCACACCATATATTAGGCCAAATATATTATACATTAGACCACTTTTATGTTTATTAATAATAGGATAATTAATTATTTCAAATCAATGTAGATTTTAGTTTGAAATAGCTTCAAAATAATATGATTACTACTTTGCACAACACATCCACAAAGTGGAAATAAAGCTTTTTCTTGCGTAAGTTTACAATTTTTTCTTTACCACAGTGAAACCTAAAAGTTAAAATTTTTTTTGGAGATTGGCATCACAGTGATCTCGCAAGGATGCAATTTTCAGATTTTTGTCTTGTCCCTCAACAGAGATATTAGTTGAAAATTTGGAAAAAATCTGAAATTCCAATTTTTAAGTGGCACGTTATTTACCAGTAACATTTTACAAAAACAAATTATACTGTTATGTGTAAAAGCACAAAAAAAAAAAAAAAATTAAGACTGTGATTCTATTCCTCCTGTAAGAAATTACTCCCTGAAAATCGAATTTTGTTCATTTGGTTGCAAATATTTCCCAATTAAAAACGTAAAAGGTATGTAAATAATATTTTGATTTGTAGGCCAGAGTATATTGAATCCAATACTTCTTATTTTAGAATGCTAGAACAACCCAGAGATGAGTAATTTAGAAAAGTGTAAATGTCTACAAACGCGAAAAATGGTGCATGACGTGAAACAAAAATGGCTGACATTTGTAAACCAGGTATGATAAAAAAATTAAAGATGTTTTTATGAACAGACAAAACATACGGAAATTTATTTACAAAATATGAATTTTTTACGTGATGGCGAAGTAAGTAATGCTTGACCACTTAAAATGGATTGAGACATAACTCTCATCCACCAACTCACTACAGGAACTGTTGAGAATATTCAAACAACAAAAAATCTAAAGTACACACTTCCACTACAAGAAAGAAATATTCATTACCTCTTGCAAAACCTGCCAAGGTGTCTCTACTTCATTGACTAGTGATGATGAAGCTCTGGGAGGTTCTGGTTCGACAGAAGTATTGCCAGGCACTCCCCCACCGACAGGAATACCCTCTACTGTTATTGAACTGGTAGGTGATGCAACTGTACTGTCCTCAGAGCAAGAGCCTTCTGTTGTACTGCTTATCCGTGATCGTTGCTCTAGTTGTCGCCGTTGATTCTCACGTTCTTTGTCAGCCTGCAGAGACATAATTAATGAAAAGAACAATCAAAAAATGAAATGTACTAATACCTAAAACGAAATGCAGTAGAAAGTCAGTTAATGGCATCAGCTGCTTCTCTAATCGAAATCCTCAATAACAGAAACAAATTAAATAGAGCTCTACATAACTGGATATCAATTTGTAAATCAAAAAACTGATTTATATATTTAGTTTACAGACAGCAGTACAACTGACTATGCCTGACCTGATGTAAATATGTTTAATTATTATGTAAAATAAATTACAAAATTAGCACAGAAAATACACACAAAACACATAACACACCACATACAAAAAATACATAAACAACAAAAAGTAGGTAAATAAATGATAATATAAAATGTAAAGAAATAGAAAAAAATGTTGGGAACATGTTCCTTAAAATTAAAAAAATTGCCAGTTTTAGAGTATCTCATTGAGATTGTTCAGATATCTCATTGTTACATGGAAGATAGCAACATCTACAAGCAAAGACATCTTGTAACTACTTTGCTGCTTGGGAGATGGCGCTTCTTAGGCACACGTGCCAACATTTCATGTCAACCTTCCTTAGAGCAAAATGCCCTGGGTTTTGCATAATAGCCGCCAAAACATTGGCACCTGTGCCTAGGACACAGCGTCTCTCTGACAGCCAAGTAGTTACCGTGTCCACCTGCAGAAGCCTACACTCTCAAACATATCTTGTCATTTTTTCAAATAGCATCTTATGTCTGGATGGTTTAACATGAAAGTATGTTGAATGCTAACAGGCATACTGTAGTGAAAGCATTATTTTGTTTGGTTCTTGTTCTTACTGACTTTCCTTTACTTACAAGCTCCTTGATTATTGCTCAATGCACTGGGGCTAAGAACAGGGGCAAGAGAGGTAGCCGCAAAGGAGGGTGGTAGGTGGGATCATCTGGA